TTGACCGCAGATGGAAAGTTGTAAAAAGTTGTGATGGGAGTACTTCAGGCTTGTCAGCAGCAGGTTTTGAAGCTTTTTTCTAAAAAAAAGGTTCATAATCTTGAGGCATGGGTTCTGCATGGTATGTTATTAAGGGGGAACTCCCCACTTTGTGCCCCTCCACTTCACTCTGAAATTGTTCAGACACGCTTGCAGTCTACTTAATGGCCTCCTCCAAGCAAACAACTAGAAAGGTAAGAAATATATCAATATATTTTTTTAATTATTTGGGGTATGCTGTGTGTATGGGAACACAAACGTTTTGACTGTATAAATGAAACTACACTTTAGGACGGCCAATAACCTAGCATTTTCAGCAAGAGTTCCGCATTATCAGCCCTGTACGTTTCCAATGACAGTTTTTTCATCTTTAACCTGTAGGTGTCACTGTTCCTTTTACAACACATGGTGAAACATTACAATTGGGAGGCAATTTGATACAGAAATCATGAATTACAGAGCACACAACGATATGCAGAAAAGGAATTGGACAAACAGTGTAAGAAAATAAAGGGTTTAATTTCCCCCCACCCCTCAAAAAGAGAGAAAACAAATGCTTGGGCAACACTAAGAATTATATCCATATACACACACTGGACAGACGGACAGACAGATAGAATTATATTATTATATGGATATCAATTCACAATGAGGAGCCAACAAGATTGGAAAATTACAGTTACATGTCTGAAAATAAACATAATTATATGTGTGTGTTAACGCTTTGCAAACTGATTCTTCTGTCTTATTTCTTTAGTTGGAGAGCTGCTAACATGCATATTACCAGATGTCCAACACCCACAACAGATGTTGTGTCTATCCCTACTAAGCATTCAAAGGGAGTCTGTAGTGAAAGATATGCATATGCTACCAATTTGGACCCTTTCTGAAAATGTTAGTTGTCTTGCTGTCAATTCTTCAGCTTTAATAGTGAGCCTAAAAAACGCATATGATCAAAGCAGGTGAAATACCTTAGTTGCATTCTTGCTCTGGGTGACTTCTTAAGCAGTGAAGAAAAAGGAAGAGCATGACAGCCAAGCAACTAGCATTCCCAGGAAGGTGGTCAGCAGTAGTGCGGCAGAAAGGTTCTCCAGCATGCAAGGTGAACATGCCAATGTGCACCCACCCATTCACAAAGAACACTAATTTATGAATGAAGGCTATAACTGAGTGCTCGTTCATAAATTATTGAAATTAATGAAGAGAAAGGCTAGGCTATTACCCTGCAAATTGCACTGAAAGAGCAGATTTTCTGGTCTAATCAGTGGAGCTCTGCTGTAACTGCCAGCTAGGCCACTGTGCTCTGTTTATGAGGAGCAGAAGCTGCTCCTGATACAGAGCAGGACCAGCTGTCAGACCCTTTTCCTTAGAATAACCTGCATTGGCAGCTGCAGGTGTATCCCCCTGCTTGGATGGATAAATGAATATATATTAACAAACACTCCGTGTGTCAAGCGTGCCGCAACTGGGGAAGCAATCAGTAAAATGCCACCAGTCCAGAGTAAGCAAGATCTAACCCTGACTAAGATCTGAACTTTGTTATGCTGTCACTGCACATTGGAAGCATCATCCTGCTGTGTTGTTTATAAGTTATAACACACATACAAGGTTGAAACTGATCCACCAGGAAAATATAAACCACTGTAGTTTTGAGGGAAATGCTTTTATTTCTAATACCAGAGTAGGCAGGCCACCTGTACATTTAATCTGGAAACTCTCTATAATGCAATCTGTACTGACGCATTGCAGACTCAAGATCTGAAGTATTAAAGATGGAAATTAGTTCCATCTAATTAGAAAGTTTTTTTCGTTTTGGATAGAGTAAGGGAAGAGAGCTCTCACAGAATGTCAACAAAGGAGCGGAACAAGTCATAATGACATCTTTGCTCCTGAATGTCAACAAAGGGGCAGAGCAAGTTGTGATGTCACGGGACTTGTTCCGCCCCCTTGCTGACATTCGGAAGCAGAGCTGTCATTTTGCGGTGAGAGTTCACCAGGATCGGTCGCCAGGATCTACCGTGTTTCCCCGATAATAAGACACTGTCTTATATTTTATTTGGCTCAAAAAAACACACTAGGGCTTTTTTTTGGGGTAGGTTTTTTTTTTTTTTTTTTTTTTTTATGTACAACAATCAACTCTTATTCATGTAGAGAAGTCTACATGTATTCATGTACAAAAATATGGTGATCAGGGCAATCAGGGGTGCCGTACCTTTCCAAGAGCAATTTGCTAACCAATTGCTGACCAGAATGAGCGATGCGCGCTTTCACTATCGATTCCTCACAGGCGGAGTGCATTTGGTATCACTCTGCCTGTGACAGGAGTCGGCGCTATAGAGGAGGCATCGGCTTATGCGTCTCTGCTCCCTTCGGTGCCGCCTCGCTTCCTCTAGCACTGGCTTCGTTGGCACCACTGATTCTCTCCTGCCTCTCCCGCAGCTCTTCAAGTTCCCTCTTATGCCACCACCGGCCCTGGGAATGGTCACAACTAGGTCTTATTTTCGGGGTAGGTCTTATATTTTAGCAATTCCCAAAAATAGTACTAGGTCTTATTTTCGGGGTAGGTCTTATTTTCGGGGTAGGTCTTATTTTCGGGGAAACAGGGTAATTCTGCAGTTAAAGAACAACTCAAATTACAAATTGACCCTTGAGTGGGGCTACCCCCACACTGCAAGGGTTAAGGGTACTCACCTGATCCTCGATCCTGCCTGGTTGCTAGACCGGTCCCCACAGCCTCTCTCTCTCTCTCCCTCACCTCTGGCAGTCTAATGACCTGCGAGTCATCATGTCTAATACAGTGTCTAGGACATGAGGATGCAGAGGGACATTCCACCACTGAAGTGGCTGTGGGTACTGGTCTAGCAGCCAGACAGGATCGAGTAACAGGTGAATATATATATATTTTTTTTTTTTAGACCCTAGACCAAAATGCACTGCAGGGGTTAGTTTTCCATTTTTCCAGAGCTGTTCTTTAAATCCAGCTTAACAGGGTTATTCACAAAAGGGTGAAGATTTTTGAGAAAGCAGGACAAGTGAACAATCTAGGCCAAAATAGCTGATTTGGAAAAATTCTCCAATTCAGCTCACTTTCCAGTTCAGCTATGTTGTCCTAGATTGTTCCCTTCTCCCGCCTCCTCCAAACTCTTCACCCTTTTGTGAATAACGCTGTAAATGTTTTGCCTATTAACTACCCACTGCTCCTTATCTCCTCACAGGAGCAGAGTGCACAGACAGTGGAAGTCAGCATCACACTTGCAGCAACAACACAAAACCGTGTTATGGACTTCAGTATCATTTATACAGACATGGGTTATTGGTATAGTACCTTATTTTAGCCATTTTGTCTACTCTATATTGCAATGATCACTTTCATTTGTTTAACAAATGAATTCATGAATTCATTTAATGAAGCACCGTCATTAAGATCCATGTGTCACAGTGGGAGTGTCTCTTTAAATTGCATGCATTATACTTAACCTCCAGTGAACCTTGTCTGCCTCCAGTGAATCCTATCATCACTCTCAAGCAGATCTAGAATGCCCACTAGGAACTTCAACATCCAATACTTCCATTGTGTCAGATGGTTGTGTCTCCCTGCTGTGGACTGTGGTTGTGCCTACTGGGTAATACATCCCTAGTGTGTTTCTGGAGCTCTGAAAGGGACACAGTGGTGAGATAGTAGCCACAGGAGGGAGCCACAGCACCCAGCAGGGAGATGCAGGCGTCCGATACGCATAGAAGTGTCAGATTCTTAAAGTTCTAGAAGCACTTCTCTCTCTGCAAGAAAGGGAGGACTGAATCCACTAGAGTTGTAATAGTAAGCATAATATATATGTTTTAAAAAGACACTCTTATTAGCAGACATGTAACCTAAAGACTGGGGGGTATCAAAATTGGAGCAGAGAGAATCTGGAGCAGTTGCACATAGTAACCAATCAGCTTCTATCTTCAGTTTGTTCAGTTAAGCTTTGAAAATAAAACATAGAAGCTGATTGGTTACTATGAGCATCTGCTCCAGATTCTGTCTGCTCCAGTTTTCATTAATCCCCCCAATGTATTTTACATGACTAAGTAGTAAACAATGGATACCAATCAGACTTCAGTTTACTTATGCCCAGTAAAAAGGAAATATGTCATCTGTTAGCTGAACTGGGCATAAAGTCTTTACACTTTAATGTATTAGAAAACTGTCACGTGAGAAGTATGCCTGCGGCCCTTACAAAATTGTCCCAATATGCTATGCTTCCTGGCTGTAAACCTAACCATCTTGCTTCAGTGCTTCTAATTACTTAAATGGGAAACTTGAACAAAATACCGCCTTTTGTCTGATTTATTTGCATTATTGATCTGGGTCAGTGACAGAAGGTATTAAAACTAGTGGGTCAGCTAAACTTTTCCAGAAAAGAGATCAGCAATAACAGCCCCATTATTTCTTCTATGACAAATAAGTCCGAATATGCCACATCTGTGGCAGCATTTTATGGCATCTGCCTGACTGTATTTGTTTGCTACTCTAACTTCGTGTGCTAGCAAATTCGAAAAGAAAAAAATAAAGATCAGGATATTTAGACTTGTAAAACGTTCCATAGCACACATTTTAACTGTATGCATTCCCAGTACATACAGTATATCTTATACACTATAAGGTAGAGGTAAGACTGCTGTTTACTAATATAGATATACTGATAACATAAACTAACATGTTATCCTGCTAGGCTCTGCAACGGGTTAACTGAGTAATTTCTATGATGTCGTTCTCAATGAAAGGAAGAAAGAAGAAAAAAGTGTCTGAGGACAGGGAGACCCTTTCCTATTTGCCATGCCTACGAAGCCAATGAAAGGGGAGGGTCAGCTCTTAGTAATTGGTTAAGGTTCCTCCATGTGTTAAATTAGCATAAGGAGACGCCGCTCCCAAAGTAGCCACTTGGGGGCCAAAGCCAACTGCGCGTCACAGCCTTCCGTAGAAAGAAAGTGGAGGAATCGAGAAGCATGCAACTCAATCTGTGCCAATGGCATCGCGAAGGAATGGAGGGTTGCATGGGTGAAGTGGATACCTCTCCAATGGTTCAATCACAGCAAGATATGCATGTCAAATCAAGGAGCACAGCGCTTGCCAGCACTAATTAAGGTAGTCTAGTGTTTGGGCAGGACCGTGGTCATCATCTGAGCTGCTGAGCGCCCAGGATCTGGGCTGAAGATGCTTCTCGAGAGCTGGAATTGATTTACAGGGGACAAGAGATAGAGAAGTAAGTGAATGTTTCCTTCATCCTGATAAATGATGGGTTTATATTGAGCAGCAGAGTGGGATACTGTTATTTCTTTTACACCTTTGCATATTTTGCATACATTTTAGGCTTTGATTCTCAGGACAGACCAGATTTTGCTACAAGTAGCATCTCTAAAGTGTTAATAAAGCAAATACACAATTGTCCCTTGGAAACTATATACGGGAAAGTTGTTTGTTCTTTTCATCTACTGTTGGCTTTCTAGGTATTTAAGAAAAAAGTTTAACCCTTTAATGCTATGTGATACTATCAGTGCTATTTGTTTTGCTAGCATTACTCGTGTCTAATAATTATATACATATATATGATTACATGTTTGAAGGAACATATAACCGGATGACTGTCACCCCTTCTAATGACCACGTATCTTTTCTGCAGGGTCCGTGCTATAAATGGTACCTCTACGCTGCTGAATGGTTCATTTGTGGTTTGAGCTGCTCCCCTGAGACGCCCTTCAAAGTGGGGAGTGACTGCTGGTGTTCTGTGCTTTTTCTAATCAAGCAGTTCAGTTTAGAAGGAAAGAGCATGGCTTCAGAAGACACGCAAGGAGCATCCAAATCTGCCATGGAGAAACTCTCGTGTGCAATGGGGGAAAGAACTAAACAGCTTGGCACTGCCATGAAGGAATCCCACCACCAGAGGAGACTCATCTTGTTCATTGTCTGTGTGGCACTTTTTCTTGATAACATGCTTTACATGGTCATAGTTCCCATAATCCCAGACTACATTCAAACTATGAGGTTGAATAATGAAAAAGCATTTAAAGTCATCAATTCCAGCTCAGCCTCTTCTAATAAATCTATTATTAGGCCCACGTACCCAACAGAGAATGAAGACACCAAGATTGGAGTTCTGTTTGCCTCCAAAGCGATCCTACAGCTGCTTGTCAACCCACTCAGTGGTACTTTCATGGACAGAGTTGGCTACGACATCCCTCTTTTGATTGGACTTATTGTTATGTTTTTCTCAACTGTCATTTTTGCGTTTGCAGAGAATTATGCCACCCTGTTTGTAGCAAGAAGCCTGCAAGGCTTGGGGTCTGCCTTTGCAGACACCTCTGGGATCGCAATGATCGCAGACAAATACACAGAGGAAGCAGAGCGGAGCAAAGCCTTGGGTATAGCCATCGCTTTCATTTCTTTCGGGAGCTTGGTAGCGCCCCCCTTTGGGGGCATATTGTACCAATTTGTAGGTAAAAGAGTACCTTTTTTGATTTTGGCTTGCATTTCTCTCATTGATGGCATTCTGTTGCTAGTGGTCATCAAACCCTTCGCCAATAGGACTAGAGAGAATATGCCAGTGGGCACACCCATTTATAGACTCATGATTGACCCTTACATTGCAGTTGTGGCAGGGGCGTTAACTACCTGTAACATTCCTCTTGCGTTTTTGGAGCCCACGATAGCAAACTGGATGAAAACCACTATGGGTGCCTCTGAGTGGCAAATGGGTCTCATTTGGCTGCCAGCATTCTTTCCTCATATACTAGGGGTTTATATTACTGTAAAGCTTGCTGGCAATTACCCCCAGTATCAATGGTTCTATGGTGCCATAGGGATGGTAATAATAGGTGCCAGCTCTTGTACAGTGCCAGCTTGTAAAACTTTTGAGCAGCTTATAATGCCTTTGTGTGGTTTGTGCTTTGGAATTGCATTGGTAGACACTGCACTATTGCCCACTCTCGCCTTACTAGTAGATCTCCGCCATGTCTCTGTATATGGGAGCGTTTATGCAATAGCAGATATATCTTATTCTGTGGCATATGCCATGGGGCCTATAGTTGCTAGCCAAATTGTGCATACAATGGGCTTTACCCAACTCAATCTTGGGATGGGACTTGTCAATGTACTGTATGCCCCTGCCCTTCTGTTTCTCAGAAACGTGTGCCAAATGAAGCCCTCTCATTCTGAAAGGAATATATTATTAGATGAGGGACCCAAGGGCTTGTATGACACTATTAAAATGGAGGAGCGTAAAGCTAAGTCTAAAAAGAGCCATCATAAAGATGGCGAGGTTCAAGGGAACAGCATGGACAATTACAATGAGCAGACAGGGAAATACATGTCTGATGAGGAGTCCTCCGATTACGAATATAGTTAAATTCATGCCAAGCTAAAGGAGTGAAAAGTAAAAAATCAGCCATATGTTTACGCACCAAGATCTAATTTCTACAATGTATTCATGTTTATGATTTTCATGGTTCTTGTAAAACCTATTTTTCTTATATCAATTTCTTGGAGTACAATTATATTAACTGTTTCATTGTTTTTTTTTTAAACGTTCATACACTTTATGTGAGATACTGTATATCTGTACAAAAGAAATAACTATATGAAATAAAATTGCATATTCAGGGAAATAAAGTTCATAAATATTGTATATATCTATATTTTGTCACTTGATTAAATACATTATAAATAAGTGTCAATTACCACTGCCGGCACCTTCTTCAGTAAAACATGCAAGAAAGTAGAACAATCTAACTTACAAAAGGAATAGGAGTTTAACTACATATCTAAAAACTAATACTTGGTACCATTCACGTGATCACACCTCAAATATCGTGGCTTGTCACAAGACAACGTCTGGGATTACATATAGGGAAGGGAAGCAACAGGTTAAATGTAACCTTAATGAGCACACACGTTCATTTTACAGTTTTTCTGCAGTGATGATGTGACATAAAATTAAGAAAATCAAGTGTCTGATTAGAGTTATTAGTCTTCAAACACATTTTAACAGGTTGTAACATTACTCTTTCTTTCACGAATCTCCTGTACCAGTTTTTGATTAGCGGCGAAAATAGAGGTTCTATATCAATAAATATATAATACGAGGTGTCCATCAAACGTCTAAGAAGATGAAGGCTTACAAGAAATACAGAAGCAAGCCATTAATCAACTTCCCACTCACCGCCAATAGATCACAGAAGTTATGCTACGGAGAGCGCTGTCCAGGTGCTGAAACGCCTGTAATTCGGTATTCATAGCTTTAGGTTTTACTTTTCGTCAGTGTGACTGGATTATACATGGCTACATTAAAAGACACACCGGACTCCTACATCTCTTTACAAGTTGTACTTTTACTCAGTACACTACAAGGGGCAACCATTGATACACAAATTATCTTAGAACCCATATACATTGCATAGGTTTCATAGCTTCGTCTGTGGCGAGGCATTCCAAATTTGCAATCTCAGCCTGACATACAATTGATCAGTTAACTCTATACTGTAGGAAACGTTAAAAACATCTTTAATTAAATCTCTTTAACAGCTGGCCAATTCACTAAGGGGTAGCAGATGCATCGTTCAAATATCCTTCTTTTACTCCAGCGATTTTGGGCAGATTGAAGATTAACCAGGGAGAAGCAAGGAGGTAAAGGTGAACATAGGGAGAAAGAGCGAAAGAGAAAAATAATGACTGAATTAATGAGAGAAAAAAATGAATGAGAGTGTGTGTGTGTAAGAGAGAGAGAGAGAGAGAGAGAGAGAGAGAGAGAGAGAGAGAGAAAGATAGGGGAAATAAAAGAAAGAAAGAAGAGAGAGATAAAGGTAAAAAAGCAATAGAGAAAAAGCAAGCATGAAGGGAATAGATAGAGTATGAAAGAAAACAAATGAGAGAGAAATTAAAAAAAAGAGAGAGAGAGAGAGCGAGAGAGAGAGAGAAAATAAAAGAAAGAAAGAAGAGAGAGATAAAGGTAAAAAAGCAAAAGAGAAAAAGCAAGCATGAGGGAATGAGATAGAGTATGAAAGAAAACAAATGAGAGAGAAATAAAAAAGAGGGAAAGAGAGAGAGAGAGAGAGAGAGAGAGAGAGAGAGAGAGAGAGAGAGGGAGGAGAAAGATAGGGGAAATAAAAGAAAGAACAGAGTAACAATAAATGAGAAAGGAAGAGAATACATGGGTTAAAGGAAGACGAAAAGAGAAGGGAGAAACAGAGAGCACATCAGCTTTGATGTGAACTCATAAGCTTTACTTCGATCACACAGCCACAAGTATCTGTAAACACCACATTACATTTACTAACAACACATCATACGCGTCTTTCAATATCTCTACTTTACAAACAGCAAGACCTTAAGTCGACTGCAGACTGTTTTCAGCATTTACATACAGCAAAGAAAACCTGCTGGACGTTTGGTACATAGTGACTAAAGCCTTGCAAAGCTAACATACTGGCATTACATGCCATGGTAGAATGGCTTCGCCCTTCCTATGCACCTGTTCAGATGTCACTCTTAGTTTGCAAAGTTTGACTGTGTTGAAGGCAGGATTTTCTAGTTCGTGTCACCACCAATTTAAATGTGCACGAATGGGATTAGAAAGGGAGGAGTTATCCAAGAAGAAGACTGAAGGTGGGCAGGGAAAGGTGCTGGGGGCAGATCTCCTCTAACACTAGTGCCTTTGTCCAGATCACGTAGCACTACAGGCTAGGGACTCCTTCCAGCATCGGGATAGGACTGCTACCATGGACAGCGGAGCCCACGTCAGCACAGCTCTCCCACCACCTACAATGGTATTGAGTTCAGCGCTACTCTCTGCTCCTAACAGGATTTTCTGAGCCTGATCAATTGAGTGAAGCAGGTAAGCACTTTTATTTATTCAATAGGCCAATTTATAGGAGAGGCTTTTAAAGTTTAAAAAGTCTGGGAGCCATATTATTTGAAATAGAACGGAGAGGTTCTAAACACTTGGCACCTGTTCGCAGCGGAAGAGCTCTACTCTGTTCCAGTCCTGGCTGAGAATGGAATACCAATACATCTAGCTTTCAGTAGGCGCTAGACAAATTAGTATTTTGTCTTGCTGTACTTCTCCTGAGTGCTCATCAGTGGGTCATTTTAGTTTAACTGGGTTTATTATTCCGCGAAGAAGCTTTGTTGGTAATGGCAAATTAAACAAATCTACAGAAGAGAGAAAAAAAAAACTCCTTCACAGTGACGGCCAAATAGCTTTTCAGAAGCAGCCTTTTCATTGTTGCAGAGTCTTCTGTAAGATTTCTTGCTTTGAACGGTATACCGATCCGACTGATGTTTTCTGTGGTTCATTTTAATTATTAATGAGGCTGATCTCTCATCATCAGCAACCTTATCTGATCAGCATTACTATTTAGTGCACCGCGTTGCCTTTCAGCATGTGTTGGTGGTATCAGAGCACAACAAATATTTTCAACAATTATAACAATCCCTTTATGAAGACAGCAGCTGTATATTTCAAAAAAAAAATAATACTGTAGTAAATGCAAGAATTATTTCGAGATTCCTAATTTGCAATTAATTATACATTTTGAGGTCTTCATACGTATATGGACTATTAAAACATAATATAACCTGAATATACCAGTTCTGTTGAATTGCATGCATGTATCAGAGAGACATTATTGATTTATAAGAATGTTATTTCATTAAATAATAATACTTATAACATGCTTGCACTTGTTTAATACAAATGTATTACTGAAATAACAGCAAATGTAACTTAGTCATTAACATTTAGGAGCTACTGTATTAACACCAATGTTCACTCTAAGGTCAGCACTTTAGAAATTACAATGTTATTCTATGAACAAGTATTTGTAGATTTAGTGTAAATATCTGGATGAAAGGCTTATTACTTCAACCTATTAACCTTTTCATTTCTTGATTACTGGGTTTACAGTAAACGGTGATAACAAACATCTTTCCCTTATGTCTTGTTCACCAGGGCTGGTCAAGATGGTCCAAATACAGTGCCAAGCCCCCTAACATGCATAGTATAAATGACACAAAATAAATAAACTGGGGTTTCAAAAGGCACTCGTTTCACACATACTTATGTATAAAAAGTAATTTTGTACATTTATTGATTATGCAAAATATTAAAATACATCATAAAAAACAACTATGTTCCATTTTGTCCCTCGAAACTCCAACCTCCCGTATCCACTGCATCTATTGCTTAAATACCACTTCCTCACAGTCGGTTACATAACATTACAAATTATTATACAATACAGATAACATAAGTCATTGTTGCCAGTGGTATGCTGTCCTTCCAACACGTTTCACAGAGTGCTTCTTCGGGGGATTAGAGGTGAATAGCTTGTGGAACTTCTATGGTCAGTAAGGATTCCTCGGTGCAGAGGGGAGGAGATAAGGCCACTCCCCTTAACACTAACAAGCTTGGCGGGACCAACAGGAGAGTGGTACCTTGGAACACAGCAGGGTCACCCACTATTTTGCACCATTTTTCCCTGACAGGTGCCAGCACAAACCGCTGCTACTTCGCTCACCAACTCGCCTCGCCTTATATACACACATACACTACTGTTTAAGTGGGTCCCTGTTAACAAGGAATGATGTAAAACATTTTAACACAGGAATGCTTTACTCTAGAACATTATCTTTAGGTCATTAATCAGTTCACAGGCCCATCCAAAGCTATGAAATGCATGGTGGAGGAGCAGTCACTCATGGAAGGCCAAGTCCTATTTTAACAATTTATTTGGGCTATTCAGATTCAGCTCCTAACAATAATGTTATGACACCCCTTTAAATGGCACTGAATCCAATAATACTTGCAGAAAACCAGACTACATATAGCTTTACTCAGTGACTGTTGTGTTAGTAAACTGTCCTCTTTTTAGTGGTAAACTATGTTCAGGCCCTGAAAAGTGTTAAACAAAGAGCAAATGCCAGTCGTTTCTATAACACATCCCCAACTCTTGATAGCTTTCTGACCATGTTATATTGCACCCATATTTAGGGTATAACATGAAACTTGGTCACATTCTCCAGTACCCCACCCTGACATGGCCCCCCACTTAGCCCCCTCACTCTTTGGAGCGTCCTTGTGGCTTGGCTGTTTGTGGCTCCGCCTGCACAGCTGCATCATTCATTTGCAGATTCATTCACAGGACCTGTGAATGAAAAGTCTATAAATCTCATCTGCGACCACAGCAGATGGACTGGTAGACCCCAATGGAGCTCAGGTGCAGCGACGTCACCACACCTGTAGTCCACTGATTACTTCCTCTAGCCCCATAACTGAAGAGCCATACTTTACAGATCTGGGTCTGAGATAACAGTCTACAGGAGTCTGCGCACAACATCTGTGATCCACTGATCATGGTTGCGATGCTTTGCAGGCTCAAAT